CACCACCCAGGCTGGGCCCCAGGCTTTTAGCAAGACCCCTGAGGGAAGCACCAGTCTGCGGCCAGTGGTGGTGGTGGGGGCCTAGGAGCCTGGCCAGGATCACGAGGAAGGGAGGAGCCGAGGTCACACGCTCTTGGTTGCGGGGTCCCCTCTTCCCCACTTCACGGGGCTCGCTGTTGGAGGGTGCAGAGAGAGGGTGCTTTGTGGGTGAGATGCCCTGGACATCCAGAGCATGGCGGGAGAGGCCGGATGGGCGCCTGCCGTCCCCCAGTACCCTCGCCTTATTGCCCGAGGCTGTGGGTCAAGGGGTGACAAGACCTGGTCTTGAGATTATGGGGGCCCAGCACAATGACAAAGGGGCCACACGGGCAGAGAGGGCAGAGCCAGGTGCAGAGCCACTCCCCAGGGCTAAGAGGGGCCCTAGGAGGCTGCAAAGATACCCGTGTGCAGCAGGTCCCAAAACAGGGTTGGCCCCATTGGTGCAGCTAATGACCCACCGGGGATAGGGAATCCCGGGGTGAGTTAGCATTGTTTAGGTTAATTTTGGATGATTTTTTTTTTTTTTTTTGTATTGGGGATTGAACTTAGGACCCCCGCGCTTGCCAGACAAGTGTTTTGGTTTTTTGAGCCATACCTGAATTCCATTGGTGTTTAAGAGCCAGAGGGAGAAGGGGACTGGGGTGGTAGTGTTATGGGGTGGTGGTAGTGGTGGGGGGACAGACAAAAGGCAATCAACAAAAAGCAAAAAAACCCTGAAGAAAGTACTAAGTTTTCATTTTAATTCAAAAGTGCCAGTAGAGCTTCAGGCTTTTTTTCCCTCCCTCCCTCCCTCCCTCCCTCCCTCCCTAAACAGGCTCTCTCTGTGTAGTTGAAGCTGGCCTTGAACTCCCTTTGTAGCCCAGGCTGGGCTTGAACTTGTAGTAATCCTCTTGCCGCAGCCTCCCAAGTGCTGGGGTTGTAGTCATACGTCACCACACCTGGCTCACATCTCCAGTATTTATCAAATGCCTAAATGTAGTTTTAAAATTTTTATTGCATTTTTTTCCCTCTTGAGACTCATGCGCTTGCACAGCCTCCACCGCAGGGCAGGCCGGCTGCTCCCTGTGGGCCTCAGGCTTCCAGCCCCTCCCCACCTCCCTGGGGAAGGTCCTTTCCCACCAGGTCCCTTGGACAAGGACAGCACCACACTGTCTCTCCTGAGAACCACGTGGAAGGGACATCTTCCAGCTGTTTCCTTAGAAAACATTCCTAGTCACACCCTCTGGGAGGAAAGTAGCCAGGACCTGGGAGCTCCATGGAGCCGTCCCAGACCACTTGCAGTCCGGTGTGCTTTGTCTATGACCATTTTTCTTTCCTGTCTGAAGCCCTTTAGAATCCTTTCCTCTGGTTTTCTGTGATTTTCTTCTAACAGACACCCCGGGGTGGAACTATTATGTGAAGCTCTAGGGTGGTTCCTCCCTCTAGAAATTATCGATCTTCCTCTTGGAAAAATGTAAAAGTTTTAAAACAATGTGTACCTCCCATTTGCTCCATAGTTTCTTCTTTTTATTTTGCATTTTTATTTTTAATTTTTGAAGAACCGGGGATTGAACTCAGGCCCTTGTGCTTGCCTGGGAAGCACTTATTCTACTGAGCCATCTCCCCCATGGTTTCTTCTTACTCAGTGAATACTATAAGCTTCTCTTTTGTATATACATATATTTTTAATAAGCTTCTCTTGCTCCTGATTACCCATCTTATAAAGAAAACCTGGCTGCCTGGAAAAGGTTTCCTCATCCTTTTCTTCAGCTCTTCAGTCGCCCTTTCCAAGCGTCCCAGCTTTCACACCGCAGTGAGTCTTCCTTCCCCAGCTTCCTGTCCCCAGCATGCCACCCTGTCCTCAGGGCGCGTTGTCTCTCCTTCCTCATAACTCCACTTAGGTTAGTCTGCTTTTTTGTCTGATCTTCAAATTGGGGGCTTTTTCAAATGCCTTGTGAAAATACTTTAAAAGAAATAAGCCAATTTGTGTAGAGTTTTCTTTAAATCCCTGGTATACCCGGCTCCCATCCCCCTCACCAGGCTCACCCCTAATTGAAAGCCAGGTCTGGGGCTGAGGCTGTCCCCCAGGGGCAGAGCTCTGCACCGGAGCTCACACTACCCAAGGGAAGCTCCTGTAGCCCCACTGTAGGCAACGAAGTTCTCTGTCCTCTGACTGGGGCAAGGCTTACCATGTGACCCACGCATGACCAATCAGAATCGTCTCTGGGACCTTCAAGCAGCACCATTTGACTCCAAGGAATTCTCTACTGTGTTGCTGTCTGGCCCTAAAGCTTGGGAGGTGGGCAGCTGCACTGAGCGTGTCTATATGCCTCTCCCCAGCCTCATGGACTCGTAGGTGGGGCTTTTCAGAGCTGGCTGGATCTGGAGTGCGTCGTACTGGGATCAAGGGTTTGTGGTTACCAAATTAATCTACTGATTTGGCACGGTCCTGGGTAGGATCAAGGGAGTCTTGCTCCGGTGTGAGTACTACCTGCTGTAAGGGTGTGTGGTCAGGATAAGAAGGTACTGGGGGCTTATTGCTTCTCATTCGTAGCTTGCTGCCTTCTGTCTGCTGTGAGCCATTTCTCCTCCATGATTCCTGTCTGCCACAATGCCCTGCCTTGTAGTCAGCCAGTGAAGGACTAAAACCTCTACAACGTATGAGCTAAATAAACCTTTCCTCCCTTAACTTGTGGGTGTTGTGTATTTCATCTCATCAGCAAGAAAGTAACCAAGACAATCAGAGAGCTGGAGAAAAGGAACCCTGGAATCAGGCTGAAGTCCTGGGTCCAGTCCTTGCCAAGCCTTGGGATCCTTTGATTTTCCAGTTGCACTGGCAACTAAATTCCACTTTTTGTTAAACTTGGGTGAACGAGGCTATTGTCGCAGGAAGCCAAGACACTCTTGAGGCATTCGGTGGACTCTTTCCTGCTCTGCACTTCCTATCTCATCTGCTGCTGAAGCCACAGGTGAGGAGTTCTGCAGGGCTCCCCTGGCAGGAGGGGAAGGGCTGCGACAAGGCATTGGAACTCCACTTGTGAGCAGGTAGGTCGCAGTGCCTGAGAAAATCATTCCCAACTCATGGGGAGTGCTGCCCATTTCCAACCTCCGGGGGCTGCAAGTGCAGCTTGTGGGGTGGGGCAGGAGCAGATGGGCCAACAGGGCACAGACCTGGGTCATCTCTGCTTTTAACGGTGCCCAGCTGGTTTCCTTCCCAGCGAGACCCGCATTGACCTTCACCTGCAGCCATGCTTTGGCAGCCAGCATATTCGTGACAAATTAATTATGCAGAGAGAGCAAATCTCATGCACAAGTCAGTGCACCTCTGTGGGCTGGGGTGGAGTTGCATATGGCTGCCCCAGGGACCCGCTGATCCACGGAGCTTGGGTAAACTTGGAAGCAGAAGCCAGCTCTGGGCAGAAGGACGACCACCCAGGAAGCAAGGAGCTAAGCTGGTTCCAAGCCCCAGTACTTGAGGCTTAATAGTTGCAACCTGGACATTACTCAAGGACACAATCTGGAGGCTGCAGCTTGCCACAGTGGCCTAGGAGACTTTGTTCTGGGGCCGGGATCCTTGTCACTCATAAGGACCCCAACTGCCCCACTCACTGCCCAGGCCTGCTCAGTTCTCCCAGGAACACCCAGGTGGATTGAGTGGACTCACACATGCAGTGCTCATGTGAGTGTCCAGACCTCACTTGTGGCTGTCCCTCAGTGCAGTGGTTCTCTGAATACGACACCACATCCTGACCTTCTTGCCTGGCCAGGGTCAGGCCTTGCCTAGCGCACAGTCCCATCCCCCACCACCTCCCTCCACCTGGTCTGTGGTTTTGTGCTCCCCAGGAAGCTTCCTGGGCCCCCAGGTCAGATCCAGGCTTCTGTTCTGTACTCTTGTAAACCCATGACTATTCCTGCTGAAGTCCCAGGACCCAGCATGCGTCCACCTCTCAGGCCCAGGACAGGACTGGCCTGCAAGGAGTAGTCAGCAAGACGCTCAGTGCAGGCACTGGGGGCCCTGGAGGTGTGAGAGTGAAATACAGGGCCTGAGCCCCGCAAGCTCCCCGTCTGAGGCTGGGAGAGCACAGGGACCCCTGCCGTTCTTGCTTCCGGCCTCTCTTTACTGTAACTGTAGGGAATCACCTGTTCCACACACTGAGACCATGTGATTGGAGGAGGGAAGTCATGTGACCCCAGGTGACCAATCACAGCACTCCCTCGCTCCAGCAGGTGATCAGCTGGGGGCCAGGCAGACATATGACCAAAGCTGTCCAACATGGCTTTCACGATGGGGAAAGATCTCTTTCCACTGGACAACTAAGCAGTGGCCGAGTGACCTGTAGTGACAGGGGCCATCTTTATAAACACCGAGGAAAGCAGAGCAGAGGAACTGAAGAAGGCGGAGTTGTGAAGCACCGCATGAGCTCCGGATCCAGACGTTTCTGAAGGAGGTAAATGCCTGGGCTTCTTGCATTACTAGCGCCCTTAGTTATTGCGGTCTGATCAGACCTGCAATCTCCTAAATGAGGGGACTGCGAAGGCTGAAATAAATGAGACAAATGGCGTGACTTTAGGGCTCCAGGAGGATTCTAACCCTCTCACGGAGATTTTCTGGGGTTTAGAACAAAGAACCTCTCCAGGTGCCCATATTTATTAGCCTTTAAACCAAGGAGGGGGATACAGAAGAAAATGCAGAATCTGGGCAGGACTTGGGAATCCTTTCTAGGGCTTCTCCAAGCAATATGTTATGTTAATTTAGGAGAACTGTATTGTCTCCCGGAAGGCCCTCACTGGTGAGAGGCCTGCAGCTGCAGCCTTTACCTAGCTAATGGAGGTTGGAGCCGGGTGACCTAGCTGTGGTCCTGTCAGGTCCTTTGTGGCCTCCCGGCTTCACCCACCATGACGGGCTTGGTGGGACCCCTGACTCACACAGGTTCACTTGCTATGGGTCTGCTGCCCTGGGCCTTGGGCAAACCCACCAGTAAACATGAAACGCCAGCTGGTCAGTAGAAGTCCTGCTCAGCGCCACTTCACAGTGGTCCCTGTCATGGACTCATCTGTTAGAAGAACCTTGTGCTGACGCAAGCCCCGGCTTTCTGTCATCCCCAGTCAAACAAGTCTTGATGACTGCAGAGACACACAAATGACGTGTGCACTACGGGGTTGCAAGTGCATGTTTGATAGGAGGCGCATCAAGCCAGGTCCCTATTATTTGCTCAATTCTAGCTTCTTCCTCAAGTCCAGCCTGAAGCGTGAAGTCCCTTCCCCTTCAGAGGGGAAGCAGGAGAGAGCAGGTATCAGGGAGTTCTGATTTCTCCGTGTAAGTCGAGTCTCAGCTGAGCCCCGCAGGCTGTGGGAGTGGGAGGGGAGAGAGACAAAGGGCTCTCAGAAAGTGAGGGCTTCAGCACTGGCTCTTGAGAGCTCTTTCTGCCTAAATGCTTGGAGCTGGGAGTTCAGAACATGGCTCAGCATTCCCCACTAAGGAGCCAACAAGTTACGGGCATTGGCTGAGGTGCTGGTTACCCCATAACAGGCATCTACCATGAGGACCCTCCCAGCCAGCTAGGAAAGGGTCCCCAGCAAGATGAACATTAGTCTCAGTGGACATGGCTCCTGGGGCCAGAGCTTCAGTGTGTAAGGAAGGCCCGCCCTGAGGGGTTCGTGGAGCAGTAAGAGGATCAGGGCAGAACGTCTGTGTATGTGCCAGGCAGGGAACACAGTCCTCGTGCCACAGTTGCCAGCCAGGCCAACTACCATCTTGCTGCATCTTCTTCACACCATCCTTCAAGTATCCCTGACTTGTCTTCAGCCCGCCTCTTGGCTCATGAAATGACTTGGTATCCACACCACTTCTAAGGGAAATCAGCCTCCAGAAGGGGGCTGGATCTTCTGTTTAACAGCCTTTCCTGCAGATTGGCCAGGGGAAGTCACCTGACCTGTGCCTTCCACAGAGCGGGGGTGGGGTGTAGGGGGTGGTGGATGGTGGGGAGTGAGGCGTGTGTGTGTGTGTGTGTGTGTGTGTGTGTAGGGTGGGAGGTGTTTGCTTCCTGGAAGTTCAGCTATGAAATCCTGAGAAAGCCAGGCTGAGGAGAGAACATTCTAGAAAGGTCAAGTGGATATGATGGGCTTCGAGAAAGTCAGGTCTTGAGGGAGAGAGACAGCTGGTCATTGTCTTGGTCAATGAGGGGGCTATGATAAAACTCCTTGGACTAGGAAATTTGTATTTTTCTCTCAGCTTAGGGCCTGAGAAGACCATGATGAAGGTGCCAGGAGACTCAGTGTCTGGTGTGGGCTGTTCTTTGCTTCAAAGATGGAACCTTGTTGCTATGTGTGTGAAAGGGAGGGACTAAGACGCCTCCCTGGGCCTGAGGGCAGAGCTCTTGGGCCCATCACCCCCTCCCCCCACCGTGAGTGCCATGTGGCTGTGGGAACTGACTTGCAGCATGGAATTGTGCTTCAGACCACAGCAAGCAGCTGTGGTGGAAAGTGATGTGGCTGGGCCCTCAGGAAGAAATGGAAGTGTGGTGGGCAGCACTGTCTCAGCCCTCTCCCCACCTCCTCCGAGCACATCAATGGGTTCCCAAGGCTGCTCCCTGTCCCCCTGCCAGCAGACTCAGCTTGAGCCCACCCTTGCGCCAGGCCTAGCCCTAAAGCCCACTCATGCAGCCATGTGTTGAGGAGCTGGCAGTTACAGCTGCTGTCTGTGGGGCCAGAAAGCACCATGGCCTGACTCCTAGTGTTTGCCTGCCCTTGGCTCTTCCTCTTGGGGTCCAGCCTGAGGATGTGCTGAATGCCCCTCCCAACCCTCATGCTCACCCCTTTCTTCTCTCCCATTTGGGGTCGACTGCTGAGAGCCCTATGTTTCTGCTTCAGGTTTCCTGAGGGTCAGGGCACTCAGCTCTGGAGTGGGCAGAGTGAGGACAGGCGGGGCCTGGCCAACTTCCAGAGGGAAACTGCTCCCGGATCCTGCAGCTTCAGTGGGAGGACCTGGGGGGAGAGGAGAAGCCATCAGCAGACATGTGAGCTGCATGCCTTGGTCTACCAGGCTCCTTGGCTCAGAGGGGACGAAGGCCACTGTGCCTGCATGCTTGCTGGGGACTCCAAGCAGCCCTGCTCCAAGTTCCTGCCCTGCCTTGCCTGGACCATCACAGCAGCTGCCTGCTTTGCACCCACACTCTTCACTGAGGCTTTTAAGCTGCATGCTGTACACACACATCAGCCCTGCTCGAGTCCTCTGGGGCCTTGCCAGCTCACTTTGGATAGGAGGGAGCTTTTCTTCTGGGCTTCCTGGCTCCGAAAGACTTGGCATTGGCCAGGGCCTCTCCCATCAGACCTGCGACCTCCTGCTGGCCAGGCTCCTGCATGGGTCACCGTGCTCCCACTGCGGCCCTCACCCTTGCCCTCTGCCCCTGTAGGCTGCTTTCCTCTTGCATCCATCCAGCCTCTTAGTCCCTGTCACCCCTCCCCAAGTGTCCTAGGCTCCTTGCCTCAGGCCTGATTCTTGTGACCTCCCTCTTAGGTGCCCTGAGGCTGTCAGGAAAGTCAGAACGGGGCCTGGCTCTCCTCAGTGTGTTGGGCTGCAAGGGATATGGCCACTAGCATGAGAGGACCCGCTCAGTGTCTGGGGCCTCTCCCTGGGCTGCAGATGCTGGCTGGGGGATTCCCGCCGTGCACCAGACTGGGGCTGATCTGTGTTTTTAACCACCATCGGGCCTGCATGTGGCTGTTGTCCCAAATCCCAGAAGCCTAGGCGCTGAAACCCCGTCAGTCCTTTCCCTTTCTTTACGCTGAATGCAGCCGTCTCAGCCTGGTGTCTCTGGCCCTAAGCCCTTCTGTGGTCCCCGTTGCCTTAGAGGAGATTCCATCATCCTGCTGGGCCAGGCTCTGGCTCTTCTGTCCTCTCACACGCATGTGCACTCCACCGGGTCATGCTCACACACTGCCTCCCCCAGCTCTGACGTGCTCACTGCCAGGACCTCCACTGTTCCCTGTGCTGCAGGCTGGCCCTCCTGTCCCCCTGCCCATAGCCCCATTGTCTCGTCTTCATGGAGGTGGAGCCCCTGGCCCTGCAGCAGACCGAGGGCTCCTAGGGAGCACAGTGGCTGGGGCAACTGAGGGCACCTGGGACTGTCTCCTTCTTCACTGGCAGCCATGCTTGCACAGTCCAGCCCATCTCATGGCCAAGTCCAGATGTTCAGATGGCTTAGTGGAGGACCTGGGTCTACAGAAGACCTCGAGGGGCAGCCTGGCCTGCTAACTGCACAGCAGCAACAGACCTAACCTTCCAGCAGGAGGCCCCGCCGTGGCTGGGCCCTGGCTGAGCAGGTTGGGCGTGGCCTGGGACAGCCTCACTCGGTACCATCCTCCTGCCTCTCCCACTGCCCCAGAATATGGAAGGTAAGGACACAAACTCTTAGCAGGAGCGGGCACAGTGCCATGTGCCTGGGCACACCTCACCACAGCTAGAACAGTGTCCTGTCATACAGATGAGCACACGGCAGCTCAGAGAACTGACTGGCTTGGGCCCTGTGCTGCAAGGGTGGGCTCACGGCTCTTGGCCTTGCCCTCGACTGCCTCCTGGGCCCTGGGCTGCAGGAAGGAGTGAGTGGGGTGGAGGCTCACGGGGCTGCATGTGCTGCACTCCTACCTGCATCATTCTGCTCCTGCCGGGGCTCAGGCTCTCTCCCGCTGTCATCGCTGGGCCCTGCAGCCCCACTGTGGCTGGCTGTGCCTGGGATGAGGGTCATCTTGTTACTGTCGCCAATGACAGCATCCTCGAGGTGGCAGGATTTGATGTGAATTTTCTGGACCATGTCGCCCTTGGGATGAGGGCCTGGCTCCAGCATCTGGGCTTCAAAGGAAGCTTCTGCACCAGCATGAGAAGCAGAGACTGTGGGCCAGCCAGAGAAATGCCAGGGAGGCACTGGGCGGAAGCGCCCCGCGCCCCACAAGAGATACTTTTATTGTGCCCAACACCTTCCGTGCAGCCGGGCCCTGTGCCTGCTCCAGGAGGCCTTGCCTTTGGGGGCAACTGGCTTTAGTTGTATCCCAGGGGACCCTGCCCCAAGTTCCTCTGCAGCCTCCTCAGCCACCTGCTGACCCACGACCACTTAGCAGCAGGAGGATCCGCTAACCCTGAGACAGCGGAGAGCTGTGGGACCCTGCACATCTGTACTCTGCCCAGAGTGACCTCTGAGTGCACGCACTAAGGACCCTTGGCCAGGTGGGTGCATCTTAGAAGCCCGTACTGGGACTTGCCCCTCTAGAGGATTCCAAAGAAGAAGGTGGACAACAATGACCGAGGCAGCAGTATGGAGAACTGGCCCACGTTTGACTTCTACCTTGCATGCTTGTCCGTGGCACCGGGAAGAATGGCCACCGCCCGGTAGCCCGTGTGCCTGGACCTGAGCCTGGCCAAAGGGTCTCCATGGCCGACTCACCTGTGTCCATGCCGGCTCTGTGGACAGCTAGCTCAGCAGAGCTGCCCCACTGCCACACTTTTGCACAACCATTTGCACAGTGGCAATGTTGCTTCCTGCTGCCCTCCAAGCCCAGCACAGTGGACCTGGCCCCCAGTACCTTCCTTGGGGACACACTGACTCCCCAAAGTCCTCTTGGCCCCTGCCCTCAGCTCCTCCCCACCTCATCCACAGTTCGAGAACCTGAATTGGCTGTTCACACTCATCCTTGTCTCATCCCATTCTCAGACTCCTCTCTTACTCTGACCACATCTGCCGCTGACCCCTGTGGCTGCACCCTGTTCTGCTGGCCTTTCCCCTCTCTGGAGGTGCCTTCCTGGGCCTGTACCCTGCTGCTCAGCCCACTGCGGGTTCCCAGTGTCCCAGAAGGCTCAGCTGGGCTCTCTGATCACTGTGATGTCACAGTGTCATCAAGCCCTTGGTACTCAGGTGGCTCCTGCCCTCCTTCCTCCTTAGACACCATGCCAGGCCCCGTGCTATTTCTCTGGCCCTGTATCTGTGGTCCAGTCAAGGCTCCTCTGAAGAGATCATGCCCATTTTATAGACAAGAAAACAAGTTTCCTACAGCAGGCACTAGAATATGGGTGTCCAGTATCTCAGCTCTAAAACACCCCTAGTGCTATCCAGTGGAACAGCTTCCTTGCTGCAAGAGTTTCCCATCATGACTCTCTCTCTGGAAAGATTGGCTCCAGTTCTGTGTTATAAGGAGCTGAGTGGGTGAAGGGGACAGGTCAGGCCACTATGAAACCCTGGTTTACCTGGAGGGCTGCCAGAGGGTCTGCAGGCAGGGCCTTCCACGGGGACACAGAGAAGGTTCATCTCATTGCTGTGTCCCATCTGCACCCTCTGGAGCATGGAGCGCTCCATGTAGATGCTCTGGGGTCCCCAGCCATCACCTGGTGCCACTGGCGGGACATGGAGAGGCGTCATTGCACCTGGAAGGGACACAGCAGCCTGATGACTTGTGGGTAATGCTAGCTGCTCTGGCCTAGAGAGCAGAAGACACAGGGACAGCTAGAGTTGGGGTCCCTGGTTTTCCCCAAATCTCTGGTGCTTAAGGTATGGATGAGGCAGCTGCAGACCCAGACAGTGGGCTCATTGCCTGCCCGTGGGGGCCTCAAGCTTCCTGGGCTCGTCAGTGGAAACCTTTCTCAGCATTATTAACAAGGCCTTAACACTTCCTGGCAAGCTCAGAGTCGCCAACATTGTGGCTGTTTGTGGTCTTTTTTGAGACGGCCTTGCTGTGCAGTTCAGGCTGGCCTTGAGCTCATTTTGTAGCCAGGCTGGCCTCAGACTCGAAGTGCCTCTTCTGCCTCCCGAGTGCTGGGATCACAGGCATACACTGCACCCGGCTCCCTAGATGGTTTTGTTTTTCTAGCATTTCTTTTGAGGGTGACCCTCCTGATTTTCAACTTAAGAGAACGCTAGAAATTATATTTAAAAACATCTTTGGGTCTAAAAAAGGTGAACCATTTAGCAACACTAAGTAAATAATCAGACAAGGGCATGGCCCAAACTGCAGAGGTGGCTCTGAGGGACTTAAATCAGGAAATAATAACTGGTCCAGGTTCTAGGACAAAGTCCCTCATTTCACAGTCGGGGAAAGTTTCTTGGCAAAGCCTCAAGGAGTGCTTGATGTTGGAGCTGAGACTCTCACAAGCAGGTGACAGGGCTGCTCTGAGAGGTGGCCCTGTGTCTACCTCATGAGCAAAGGGCCCTTGGCAGACCCCTGTGTGGTCTAACTGAAGATACCACTGATGGCAAGATGCCTTCCCCACATCCTGCGTGTCGCAGTATAAGAGGAAAGAAGTGTGCTCCAAATAGTGGAGACATCCCAGCAACCCACTGCAAAGGGAGACTAAACTGAGTTATTTCTCATGGCAAAATAGTAGATGCCACTGAAAATGAGCGGCAGGTGTTACAGTGAAGGGACATCAGGAGAGGTTTGATCCAGGCTTCCTGGTGCTCAGGAAGGCCACAAAAGAAGCTGTGGAGAAGGGAAAGCTGCCCTTTCTCTTGGACAACCAAATGCCCTTGCTCCCCAACCTCACCCAGAAGGGGCAGGTGCTCAAGGTCCCTCTGGGTGTCTCCCCGACATCTTACCTTTCTCCCCACATCTCACTATGACATTCCCATGTCCGATTTGTGTGGCTTCAGAGTTCACAATAGAAATTTGGCTCTGAGAGATCATGTTGATTGGGTTCTGCTGGTAAATAATTGTGGCTGATTGGATTTCTCCATTTCTTCTTCCAGAATCTTCTGCAAAATAAAAGCCCACTCTATTCCTGTGAGCCTCGGGGGGGGGGAGTGTCAGGGGCTCCAGGGAGCAGCTGGCCACACCACGTTCCCAGAGACCTGTTGGAACACTGACCCCCAGGCACCCGTTCTGGGGCAGAATCAGTTGGTCCAGGATGGCTCCCACAAGCCAGCAGGGACTCCAGTCTCCCTCCCCTGCATGGCAGTTCCTCAGAGCCACAGCAGGTCACCTTGCCTGTGTGTCCTCTGACACCCCCAACTTGGCCACCACGATGAGTCCCTACGGGAACTGCAGGAGCCTCACATTCTCGCCTACTCTCTGTCCCTCTTGCTAGGAGGAGGCCGCAGCCCTGACCCCTGGGTCCCCGGCTCCCTGCGCCCTTGAGTGATGGCTGGAAGATGGTGGGTCAGGTCATGTGAATTTTGTTGGTCTCGCTGCACGTTTCTATACACACTGCCTTCATATGCCCTGGGCTTGCCTGTCTTGACCCTTCCTTCCATTAAAATAAATAAATAACATTTTGTGCTTTTGCTTCTGTGAAGACATATTCATTTCTTCTGACATTAAAAGAAATTGAGATGGAAACATTTTTGTGGGACCCTGGAAATATCTTGGGTCGTAGGCACTGTGCTGCCTACACTGTGGGTAGCTGGCCCCAAGCCCAGGCTTGCCTTCTTTCTGGGCAACTTTGAAACATTGAGCAAAATGCTTACAGAAAACGGTAACCAAATCGGGAGACCCCAATACCCAAGGTCTGATGGTGTCTGGAGTCTTTGCCTTCTCTATCTGCTCTGTTGGGTCCAGGGAAGCCTTCCTGCTGGTCCAGCAAGCGCCCCTTCTGCCTGGAACCCCCTTGATAGAGTCCGTGAGGCTTCTAGAAGCTTCTAGCAGGTTCTGTGAGGGTGCAGGCAAATTGCCCTGCAGAGGATCCAGCATTGGCTGTTATTGGTGTCACATCACAGCTCTGGCCCTCTTTTGGTGCACATTCGGACAGCAGGTGGGCACCTACCTGCTCCGGAGACTCTCCACTGTTTGGACTTCTCATCGCAGCTCAGAAGGTGACTACTGCCCATCTTGTACAGGTCTGGGTTCACGTCCTTCGCCGTCTTCATGCCCAGGCCCTTGGCGATGTGCAGGGCCTTGCAGGGCCCATTGGCTTTCAGAAACCTGTAGATCCTGTCCTCTGGAGACAGGGTGGCTCAGTGGGTGAGGAGGCCCAAGAGTCTGGGTCCGCCCCACCACTTCCTGGCTGCAGTCTGGCACAGTTTCCCCGCCCCTCGCACCTGGTTCCTTACCTGGGACACAGGTGTAGCTACCCTGGCTATATCCCTGATATATTCAGGATATCTAGGGACTATGGCCGTGTGGACAGTGAGGGACACAGCTTGTGCACAAGCAATGCACAGGAGCGTCAGCTCTTGAGAGGAATGACTGCCCTCTGAGCCTTCTGTGGCGTGTGGCCCTGAACACCTCATCCCCTCAGGAGGGTCTAGGGTAGGGTCTGGGAACGGAAGAAACAGCTGCTTACGGAGGCTGCTGAGCGGACGGCCAGGACTCTCTGAGGCTGCAGCTGGGTCCTGCGGGGGTCTCTGGGCTGAGGAAGAGATGGTCGGGGGTCAGGAACAGGAAACTCGCCTGGCCACCATGGGGCAGAGGTGGGGAACTCAGGTACACAGTATGGACAGGGCCTTTCCACACAGATTGCCAGACTGAGAAACAGGGTGACTTCCGGTTGGCCTTCTGCTTCTAGCTAAGCCACTTTCTGCTAATGCACTTCTCTGAGCCTTTACTTCCTTTTCCATATCGAAGAAGTAAGAGTGCCTTTTCCTTGTGTGAGGGTGTGGGGAGCCCCACGACGCTATGCCCCGTGTATTTATAAATGTCAGCGCTCTTTCATCTGAGAGCTTTAAACCAGAGCAGGGGCTCAAGCCCCACCTGAGTGCTTGTCCTGCTGTTGTCACTGCTGTGCTACTGCTCTGTTGTGGTTGCTAGTATTCTGCTGTGGCCCTACTACTTGCTGTCACTGCACCTAGTGAATCCTGTATGCCCTATGAAGCAGCCTCCTGTGATCTCCATTGGCCAGAAGGGACAATGAGGGGACATCTTGCTTCCCCAAGTGGCTGTATCTATTGTTAAGATTGCCTTGGGGGCACCACCCCAGGTCAGTTACCGATGCTGGGCTGGGCTGGCTCTATGGGAAGTAGACTGCCAGGATCACCCCTGCCCAAGCACCAGGTCGCAGGGGCCGTGAGATAGACTATGGACTCCTTCTGCATTCGGTAGAGGACTCGGTTGAGCTCCTGCTTGGGCACTTGGCATTCCTTCACGAGCAGCGCCGTACGCATGGGGCAGCCAGCCTTCGTCAGCGCCTGCACGATCTTCTGCTCCAGCTGGCCTGCGGAGGGAAGGCAGAGAGGAGGACTGAGTCCAAGGTGGGGGAGCCTTCCTCTACAGACAGGTCCTGAGCAGAGGACGTGGACAGAGACCAGGGCGGACATCCATGGGTCTTGGCAAGGACAATAGCCTCTGTCCAGAGAGACGAGGCCCTGAGCCAATTAGAGTTGACCTTGGCCAGAGAGCCTGGCAGCCTCCACTCTGTACTACCTGAGCAGACGGGAAGACTCAGCCCTAGGAGAGCTCCAGGGCAGGGGCCAGAGGGAGGAAGGATGGTAGGAGAGGGAGGAAGAGGAGCCCAGCAGAAGGAAGGCCGGCCTAAGCTCCCTGCTGCAGGGCTCTGTGACGCCCTTGGCATCTTCCTCAGGGTTCTCTTCTAGGCCACCACCTACATCAACAGTGTCACTATTCATCCACATTCCAATGCCCAGCCCCAGCACCCTAGAAATGCCACCCTTGGGCTTCCGTCAGGTCCCCTGACTTCCCTTTCCCTGTCCTCACCTCTCCATTCCCTGCCACCATTACCTAGGTGACAGCAATGGCCTCCAGCTCCAGCCTCAGTGTCTGGTTCACTCCAGGTCCTCTGCACCAGCACCAGCCACAGCTCTGCACTCGGCCAGCCCCGTGCACTGCCCAGCTCCCTCCGCGCACCAGCCTTGCGCTGCCTCCGCCCTGCCTGCCACACTGGCGCAGGCCTTCCTGCTCTGGAGCAGGCCTTCCCTCCGCCTGCCCAGCACCCAGCCCAGTCTTGCTCAGATGCCATCTCCTTTGGGAAGCTGTGCCCCAGGTACCCTCATGGACAGATGAGGCTTGTGGGGGTCCCCTGCAGATTGACCCCGAGGAGCCCTGCTGCCCTTGCCGGCTCCACCTCTGGGCTGTGGTGCTCAGGAAGTGGCATTCGAATGAGTGCATGACTGGGTGAATCAATGAATCAATGAGTGAATGAGAGAATGAGTGGGTTTGTTCTCCAGCTGACCTGGATACCTGCTTCATGGTCTGGGCGTAAGGAGCCCCGAGCAGGGCCTTGCACAGACCAAGAGAAACTTTTCTAAATAGTCCTCTCTAGGGAGAGATAGCTCAGTGGTTTAAGCACCTGGGATAAGCTCTCAAAAATCAAGGCATCATAGCACATTAAAGAAAAACAAATCCAACCGCTTTGGCAGGAAGCAGAGTGCAGACCCCAGCATGCACAGGTGGCACCTGGGGATTGGGGGCTGGGGACAGCAGAGTCATGGCAGTCTCTGCCCCCAAGTCCTGAGGGCAGTGCAAGGCAGGGTTTGTCCTGGGGCCTTCTGGGGCCCTGAGCCCTCCTATGCCTGTGGGTCTTCTGTGTCCATGGGCTTTGATTCTGTTCTGAAGAAGCAGCACTCGGGGGGAGGTAAGGAGCCCGCAGCACCCCTTTTATTGGTCTGGACTTCCCCTCAATGCTGGGCCAGGTGGCAGTGCCCACATCTTCACCTCCGAGCTACTCCTGCAGCCAGGCATGCCCTGCCTAGCAGGCCCCACCCAGCACTCCCTGCCCCTGGCTCTTCTCCTTCTGCTGGAAGTGTGAATTCATGTGAAGCCTGTCCAGTGTTGGGTCTTCTTCCTCTCTCACTGGCCACAAGGGCCAGGCATGGGCAGAAGAGATAGGCACTGAGGACAAGCCCAAGGGGCCCCTGGGTCTGGTGCAGTGACCAGCAGGTATTAAGGCAGGAAAAAACCAGTTAAGATGGGGCCAGGGCCTGCCGGGCACCCCTAAGATACACAGAACTTGTCACCAGCCAGGGCTTGTCCACCACACCCTGAACCACCCCTTCCTGGTCACTGTCTGCTCCTCCCGTGTAGCCTCTGGTGGCCAGTTTCCTTGGACTGAGTCCCAGCCCTGCCAACTACTAGCTGTGCAAGTTCCGGGGCCTCAGTTTCCCCATCTGTGAAATGGCAACAGCAGTGACCTCAAGGGCTGTGGCGAGGGTTAAGAGAGCTGATGGTAAATAGTAGAATAAAAGCAGCAAAGTACAAAACTGGCCACAGGCCACGAGCACTTAATAGCACCCAGCAGAGAGGAGCGACTGCTTAGTTCCAGGGTGGGCCTCCTCCCCTCGTGGCTTCCTGAGTGAGTGTTCACAGAGGAAAGGAAGCAGCGAGGGTGAGAGACGGGTCTGCTGGCAGCTCAGCAAGCAGCAGCCTGCATCTCACAATGACCGTGCAGCCCCTGAGCACAGTGCTCACCAGACTCAATGACCCCGGAGTCACTGCAGCCGCCAGGCCTCAGTTAGGTCATCTGTGAAATGGGAACCCCTGTGCCCTGGCTGCTGCGTGCTGCCACGACATGCATGCAAGTGCCCGGGCACAGCCGGCCTTCCAAGCGAGGCCACTCTGCCACCCTCGGCCTCCGGGCACTGCTGTTCTGAAGATGATGGCTAGGAAAGAAGCGCACCCCTACCCGGGGAACTCGCTCTGAGCCCAAGGGGGAGGACACTTACCTCCGGCGCCGGGGTTGGCAGGGGATTCGGCCATGCTAACGGCTGTGGCAAGGAGTCCAGTGGCCTGGGAGCGGCAGCCGGTCTCTGCACTGTGGCCTGTTACGAGGCTGGGCCAGCCTACCCCTCTAGCACCTCTCAGCCCACAAGGGAAGGTGTTCCACTTTCAGTCCGCCACTATCAGCCGTTTACAACCCAGAAAGCCAGCTACCTATCTCACCCCACTTGCTTTCTCGGGAAAAGAAAATGAAACTTGTGTGCTGTTTTTGAAGAAACAAAACGAAAGTAGAACCAATGAGCAAGAGGGCCTTAGAGGCCCCAACGTGACGTCAGCAGGGAGAAACTGCATTTGGCTTCCTTTTCCTTCCCAGCATCCTTTGCTGCCCACCGCCCCCCCCCAGGGGCTGAGACCTGTGGACAGGACCAGTTGGTGCCTGCCACCATTCCTGTGTGCATGAAGAAGATGCTGTGCTTTAATAAGCACCTACTGTGTGCTCTCCAGTGGCACACTCCCTCCTCCAGCCCATCTGCAGGGCAGTACCATCATCCTTTCTCAGAGGAGAAACTGAGACTCATGTGTGCGAAGTCATTTGTTTGACTTATAGCATCCAGGAGTCATGGGTGAATCCTCTAGGTTCCCCTCACGTCCTCAGAGACCAGGCAGAATGTGCTTGGTGATCTTACAATCCCCGTCTAGAAAGCTGCCTTCCTGGGCTGCTCCACCAAGGTGCCCCAAGGGTAGCTGACACCGGCTTGTGTGGTTTCAAGCCCAGACCCACAGTTCATGCCTGTGCAAGCTATTCAGTGTCTGGCCTCTGCTTCCTCATTTGTAGCTGGGGAGGAAGGAACCCTTTCATGGGGCGGTGGTGAGGACCAAAGGATTGGTCCTGCTGGGCTGTGTGACATCATGACAGGAGAGAGGGAACCTCAGGCACTCTTCCGTTACAGGGCCATCCCCTTCACAGGTTCTCAAAGGAGCCACTGGCCCCTGGACAGGTCGCCCCGCCGCTTTCTCCCGCAGTGCACAAGCCTCAGGGCAGGGCAGGCCTGCTCCTGGTTAGCACCTCTGGGGCAGGAGCATCTGCCCTTTCTAGGAGGCTGAGGCGCCATGTGGAGGCTGGCCAGCAGGGGGCGCGCGCTCATCGGCCGGGCTCGGCTAGCCCCTCTGGGGCCCAGGGATTTAGGGGGTGACCTGGACGCCGAGGGAGGGTCACAGCTCCGACACACCCGACACCCGCTGAGTCCCTCATCACCCTGTCTCAGTTGTGTGTATCGTCCCTTAGCTGATTTCTCCACCACTCCATTCTCCCATCCGGAAAGAGCTTGCGTCCCGTTGCTTCCGAGGCTAAAGCCCGGGGCCCCTCTGAGTGCCCTTTCCACAGCCCCCCTGTGTCTGAGACCCTCTCCTCTGCACCCGACTCACACCAGCTCCTCCCCCACCTCCAGCCTCACGTCTCTAGCTCCACGCTTGGCTGTGCCCACATGGTTGTAGAGGCCACGGGCTGGGCACAGAGCCAGGTCGTGGTGGCTGGACACCAGGCGGGGTAGGGTGGGGGCTTGGCTTGACCCACAGAGCCAGCCTGGCTTCTAGAAAGATCAGCTGTGTTGATTAGGGGAGGCAGGACCGCCCGTGGCCAGTGCCCATCTGGACAGCGTCTGGGTCCTCTATCACTGTGTTCCCATCCTAAGGTTACTCTAGCTGTCCCCAGGCACCAGCAGCAGAAGCCGCCGTGCCAAGGCTGCCTGGTGCCACCGGAGCTGTCTCAGGAACAGGGCTGTTTCTGACCCTCGCCTGAAGCAGTTTATCCCCACAGCCCTGCTCCTCCCTTGCTGTGGTTGGATGCCTCCCCCAGACTCAGTTTCTTCAGCCATGAAATAGACAGAATCATTGAGAAAAAATATTTTTTCTATTAGTGCTTAGTATGAGCCCACAAAATCTCAGTAAATCATAAAAGATGTGTTTCTGCCTAGAGACTGTGGGGCCGGCTAACCATAGGCCCTAGACAAAAGCAAAGGAAAGAACAAGAGAGAGAGAGAGAGAGAGAAAAGAAAGAAAGAAAGAAAGAAAGAAAGAAAGAAAGAAAGAAAGAACAAAAACCCCATGTTGAATGTGGGTGGAGCCCAACTTGTCCTGCTTTCCTCAGGCATCTGAGCTGGAGTAGACCCTGATGTACTGTACCACACTGAGCAGAGGTCTTACTTTTAAAGATGTGGATTATCCTGTATTCTTCTTTTAAGTTTAAGAAATTTGACTCTAAGAATTGTCACTAGGCCAAATAGTAGGGGCTTACATGACACAGATGTGTCTTTCCATTTGTCACTAGGCCAAATAGTAGGGGCTTACATGACACAGATGTGTCTTTCCATTTCTGGTTGACAGTGTGTCTGGCAGCCGGATTTGCTGGGCACCCAAGTCCTTTTATCCTGTTGCTCTGCCATTTGTAACCTCCATCCTCTAGTTTGTCTTAAATTCTAGAACGGCTGCAGGAGCACCAACCACTACATCTGCATTCCTTCCAGCAGAAAGGAATGGTAAAGGGCAGAAGGGCAGGCGTCTCGCTGTTAGGAACACATCTCGCAAGTTGCATGTGCCTTCAGCCAGTATCCTGCTGTTCAGAGTTTATTCCCCTGGCTCTTACTTGCAAGGGAGGTTGGGAAAATGGTCAGTGTTCCACACCGCTAGGTGTCCAGCTAAAACTGGGGTCTCACTGCTTCGAAATTGGGAAATGCAGGTATTGGAGGAGATCTAGTATCCTTCCCCAAGGAAGGAGCACGGATATCTTGGCCCACGGGTGCAGCCGTTCCCTGGGCCTCTGTAGCTAGCAGGCCTGCACACTGCCTGGCCGAGGTGAGTGCCAGGGAGGCTTCTGCAGCCTCAAGTGTCTGGTGACTGCCATAGAAGGCCACAGAGGGAGGGGGCCAGGGCCTCTACCCTTGGCCTGGGAAGAACCTTGAAAGCCCAAGACTTCAAGATGGTGCCGCTGCCCGCTGAGCCTGGCCTCTCTTTGCTTTGGAAAGCACTCTCCTTTCATGGCTTGTGTTTTTCTGGAAACTATTAGAACTCTCCTCCCAAAGCAGATGATAATTACATGTTACGGATCTGGAATCTTTCAGTTCTTCTCTCTCTCCCTCTCTCGTTTAAAAAAGAGATATTTTTACTGCACAATGTGTTGGCAAAACCCAAGTCTCCTCTCTACCAGGAGCCTGGATTTTATTTTCAGATTTCTCTTCTGTGACTGCCTTAGCAGGAGGAGGTAGAAGGGTGCGGAGTGTGGGCAGTGAGACGTCTCTGGGCGGAGCAAAGGTTGGCCACCCGAAGTGGCTGGAGAGGGTGGTGATGGCCCTCGGTTTCCCGAGCTCTGCCCAGATCCAGGAGCAGAGATCTAGCTGGACTCGCAGTGCAGGATGCCAAGCTCATCCTTGCAGGCCAGGAGTGGGCCCTGGCTCTGCCCTCTGCTGGTGGCAGGGGCCCCGTTTGTCCCACTGTGTCCTCTGGAGTCAGCTACACCGGTGGTCCCCTTGCCACTTCTTAGCTCTGTGCCTTGAGCAAGTCATGCTCTTTCTGAGCCTCAGTTTCTCTTTTTGAAAGAGGGATCATGGCAGCTGTACCTCAAGGGGACATTTCTAAGGTCAGGGGAGGGCACGGCCTGGAAGAGTCCCCTATAGCATGTAGCAGGTGCTCGGTGAGCAGCACTGTGTGGTCCCCACCTGTCCCTCTCTGTGGTGACAAAGCCACCCTCTTTGCCTTCTGGACGCATGCCGTAGCTCCCATGCTTCTCTCTATCAGGCCGTGAGCTGGGACTGGAAGGGCTGGAGAAAGTCCCTCTTGTGTCCTGGCCCTGCTGTCTGCCCTGGAGGGACAGGGGGTCTGAGGCCCAGGCCCAAGTCCGCAGCCCTGCAGTAAGGAAGATCTCATCTGCTACACCATGGTGCTTGGAAAGGTGGCCCTGGCTGCTGGGAGAGCAGCTGGAAGGAGGTGTGCGGGGGAGGGAGGCGGCCCCTCGGTGGCTGGGTGTCCAAGCCAGGGTCCTGCCCTCACCCCCTCTCCCTGCCCCAGCTCCTTTTAGAACTCCCTCCCCCCACATCGTAGCAGCTTCATCGAAATAAATTGATGTCCCGACTTTTAGTTTTATAATTGAAAGATCTCTTAGAATGATTTTGCTTCCCAAATTATTTGCCTACAAGAAATTCATTTCATTACAATTGGCCACCATCTCCCTACCGAGCGTTATTCTTGGGAATTCTTACAAAATGAGAAGATTTCACCTATAAATTCTCTTCCAATATACTGAAGGGTAATGGAATTTTTATGACAACGGAACGGAACAATTAATGAACTTGACATAATGTCAGGTTTTCTGGGTGTTTAATTAAACATTAATTGATTTTGATTCTGTGGTGGGTTTTGTTCTCCTTCATAATTTGGAGCTTAATTGACTTGGAAGGTTCTGGAAGGGTCGGTGGGACTGAGGTTTGGGAGAGCAGAGAGACATACATCAAAGCAGAGAGACATACCTGGCCTTATGGGGTGGAGTACAGAGGGAACTGGGGTGCTGGGAGTGTGGGATGGGAGACTGGGAACGTCTAACGCAGCATGTTCAGATGCGGGGCCGTAGCAGGCAGACCGGTCGTGAGGGCTCTGGTGTTATCAGTGGGCTGGTGGCTTCATAACTGAATGGACTGTGGAGAGGTGGTGGCAGCCACGCGAGATGGGGCTTGGATGGAGGCGGTAGGTCACCGGGAGCTTGCACGGAAGAGCCTGCCTTGTCCTGGGCCTCTTTTACCTTCTCCCTCTCTCTGCCGCTGGTGGCCCTGAGGTGAGCGCCCTTCCCCCGGATGTTCCCGGTGCACCTACATTCTGCGCACCTCAGGCGCACAGCAGTGGAGCCACCCCCATGGACTGACCCCCGCAGGACTGTGAGCCCAAGTGGACCTTTTCCCCTCTGTCTGTCTCGGGTATTTGTGTCACAGTGACCGCAGGCCAACACACCTACTTAGAAATTCAACCCCAAGTTGTTCCCTCAAAGACTCGGTAAATGGCAGCAACTCGTATTTACTTAGCAGTGTCTGCATCTGATTTCTGTTCCTTTCGCTGTTTCCTTGAGTTCCCGAAGCAGTCCTGCGTGGTAGGGAAGGAAATCCCAACCTGCACGTTGGAGATGAGGACACTGAGCAAACCGGTCAAGATTGCAGGGGTAGCAAGTGACATCCACAAGCCTCA